TCTTTTAAACTTCTTAAATTCTTTTAGCATCCATGAATTTTATGAACATTTGTTTCTGCATTTATTGAAAACATTTCTATTAAATACAGGAAGCCTGACGTGTGGGACTGTGTGTTAGGACTGTTAGGGCTGTCTCTATCACACCTCCCCTGACATACTGTATGTTTTCCTATACATTTTGCAACAGTGGCCCTCAGACCCCGGCTCTTATAAAAAGCAGCTAAAACCCACCACTTTTGTTGTGAAGCACTTTGTGATATTTCTCTTCAAAGATGCTGTGTAAATATAATTTTACTTTACTTTTATCTTAATTGCATTTTCCTCATCTGGTACTAGTATAGCACTGATGTAGAGACACTGTTTGTGGAGTATTATATTCTCCTCTCTTGCATTTTATTTAGCAAATGAGATTCTTTGAAGCACTGGAAGAAGATCTGTTTGCTTTGTGGCTGTTATGGGTGGGATTGCATTACTCAAACACACCGATCGTCAGCAGAAAATCTCTAACGCACCCACATTGGTAACGCAGCCTCCACAGCAGCGCTGAAGCACCTGGGAGTCCCTAACAGGATATCTTGTTAGTGAAAGAAATTCAGAGAAAACGCTGCACTTTGTTGTTTTTCAGCCAGTTGTGCCAATTTGCCACCCTGAGACTGGAGGCTTTTGGAGAAGAGAATAAAGAAATCATTTGGCAACAAATTCACCTCATCAGACTGCTCACTCGAGAATATTACAGAAGAGATCGTTGCACAACAGAACGAGCTTTTTCACGTAGCTCGCTTTCCGTGGCCTGGTTATAGGTTGTTTTTGTCTCTGATTGCAACTGTACGTGACACAAATTTATTTTTAATGTCAGAGATTATAGTCACATGATTCGTTTGGTGATGCTGTGATTGTTGCTCACACACTGCCCTGTTTGCTGTGATGAGCTACAGTGAGTAGATGCTCTCTTTTCACTCTGTTTGTACAAATGAAAAATCGTTTTTTGTTGGCAGTAATTATTAATGTCCTTCTTCTGTTTGATTTGTATATCATCATTTATCCCCGAAAGGGATCTTGGAAAACAGACTTTTGAAATAACTTGACGAGTGCCAAACATCTCACTAGTTAATTATGATGGTGAACATCATCCACCCTGACCTTGATTGGTTTATTAAAAAAAACCCAAATACTTCATATCTCAGATTTATGTTTATCTGTAAGTCCTCTGTAAGCTTTATAGATGTAGTCTGCATGTGCTCCAGTCTACATATCAAATACAACATATTAACATCTTTTTTTGTGCCTCTTTCTTATTTATGTCCTACATTTCTGGCAGCATTGCTTTGTTTATCACAAAAAATAGCCCACTTTTCCTTCAGGGATCTTTCTGCGCTTTATTCATGTGATTTATTGTTTTTACTCTCTGTGGCGTCAGGCCATCATCAACAGCACCGTCACCCCCAACATGACTTTCACCAAAACCTCCCAAAAGTTTGGCCAGTGGGCAGACAGCCGGGCCAACACCGTTTACGGTCTAGGCTTCTCCACAGAGCAGCAGCTGCAGCAGGTGAGCACAACACACACACACACACTTCAGAGCGTCGTTAATTTATTAGATGTCGCAAACAAAGAGGAGATTTAAGAAAGAGGACTGTGAAGCAGTAGAGGACACTCCTGTGATGATCAAGGGCAGCGTTTTCTCTTTGGTTTTGAACATCTTTCAGATTATATTTAAAATGCATCCACAACACACATGTGCATTTTCATTTTACCGCAGTGTTTCCTTTGGTGACGTTCATTCATCTTCAAGATTTCTCTGTTTACCTGAAATGAATTAAAGGGAGTTTAATTTACTAGATTTAGCACTTTATATAATTTATTGCGAGATCAGACAGACTTTAGTGCCAGAACATAAATTGATCGGACACTCTAGATATTCTCCAGGAGGAAACTTTGTGACGTTTTCAAACCAAGTGTAATTTCTGTCTTTTCTCTTCCTCAATCTGCAGTTTGCTGAGCAGTTTAAGGAGGTGAAGGAGGCAGCCCGTCTAGCCAGAGAGAAATCCCAGGAGAGGTTTGAGCTGGCCAACCCTGCACTCAACATCGCAGCTCCACAGGTAAAGCGATGCTGCACTTGCTTAAATCTCCAAAAAAAGACAGGCTGTCCTCTTACTCTGGTTGATTGGAGCATCCTAGAGGGAGAAAATCGAAACTCCGTGTCTCACAAGAATCAAAATGAAAGCAGCTAAAAATCATAACAGATCTGAGAATTACCATCAAAGACATATCAGCGTTCAGCTATACGACGAGGGAGGGATGCACGCAGTCTTGCCAAACAAAACACAAATCACTGCTTAAAAGGTTTTCTACTTGCTGGTGTGGAAGTTCACTTTCCAAACATGTTGGGCACAGGAACTGTTTTTTCGTGAAGGGAAAAACAACTGCCTGTGTGTTATCCTGAGGAGCCGAGGCAGGTTTTTGAGCAAACATCTGTCTGCTGAGCTGCTTAAAGGCAGCTTTTAGATGCTTTTAGCGTCCCAGATGAGCGCTGTTTTGGGCTGCCGGGAGGATTGTTGAGTGGTAGAGATCTCACTATGTAACAATAGTGTGTGTGGTCTTACTTCAACTAATAAATCATTACAATAAAATGAGGAAAATGTGATATAATTTTTTTTCTTCATCATATTTAAGAGCTGTTGGTAACAATTTTAAACCATTAAACACACATCTATAAGAATCTCCGAGAGAACATTAAACCATGGACAGCAGGTTTAAGTAGTAGACTTACTGTGTGTCTTTTAAACAGACTTGATGGTCTCCGTGGCCTTTGCCCCAATATGACAGCAGAGCGCTAATATCCCGACAAACTCTGTGCCTTTGTTTCTATTTTAAACATATACAGAATCACGAGGAGGATTATATGATCCCCATCTGGCTGCTCCATTATTCTCTCGCCGGCTAACTCCATTAAAAGATTTCATGCATGAAAAATGGAGGCAAAAAGAAATGCGAGCGCTGAAGGTGTTCAGAGGGGCAGTAATGGCTGGGACTCAAAGAAAGGAAGAAGAATGACAGATCCGAAGTATGGAGGATAAAGAAGGGTGAATGGAGGTGGGAGCTCAATCATCTATAATTGAAGAGAATCTGGCTGCTGCTGAAAGGACAATGGGCAGCTTTTGTCCTGCCACAGTAGGCAGTTTCTTGGTGAACTCGATAAGTCAGGGGTTCAGGTGGAGAAGTGAAAGTTTGTCAGTGGTGGAAATTTTATGTCCGTCATCTCACAAAAGCTGCTCCATTGTGACATTATGTGCTAAAGCCTAAGGCACAGAGTGGTATTTATAGAAGCTGTGATTTATTAGTTGCCGTTTTCTTTTTCAAATGGAGGAAACAGTATCTCGTGCAAACATTTGGAAGTCTCAGAGCTGCTCTGCCAGCCTTTGTACATTGCTTATTTCTGCCAAGTGTTAGAGTTGAGAGTGGCTTTGGATGTTGTAGCAATGCAGATTCAAAACAGAGTAAAGTGCTTGTTTATGCTTTTGTGCGTGTGCACTGAGCGTAAGTCTTAACAAAGAGCCACTCGGCAGCTCCGGGAGATTGCAGAGTCACGCTGCCAACCACAACCTCACCACTGAGACTCTCAGATAAGAGCTGATAGTGTGTCGAGACTGAGAGAAAACACTCCTGGATACAGCAAAGCAGAGCATTCATTCCTGGACAGAGCTGGATTTTATCAAAGTATGTGACAGTTAATGGTAAACCTTTGTTAAATTTGTGTGCTGGTACCTAATAGACCTGCACACAAGCTGATGTGAAGGGTCTGTTCTGAAACCAGGTGAACGGGTTTGTGATGTTTGCTGAGGTTAAAGCCAAAATCTCCACTGTCACAAATCTGCCAAGATTACTGTGCTAAGTGCTGCAGACCCAATCTGCTCCTGAGGAGGTTGTAGTCACAGTTTTTGATAGAAATGTTTGGAGTGCCACAGTCTTGCGCCACTTCCCCGTCCACTTTATCAGGTACACCTCGCTAGTGTTGTGTTGGGCAATCGTGGCTCAAGAGTTGGCAGTTTGTCTTGTAATCGGAAGGTTGCCGGTTCGAGCCCCGTGAATTTGTGAATGGGTGGATGACTGAATGTAGTGTAAAGTGCTTTGGGGTCCATAGGGACTAAGTAAAGCGCTATACAAATACAGGCCATTTACCTTTTTTGCCTTCATTCTTTCTTGGATAGATTCGGCAAGGCGCTGGAAACATTCCTCAGAGATTTTGGTCAAGACTGTGGCATTTAAACAATGCTGAGTTGGAACCTAGGAGTCCAAAGTGTGCCAGGAAAATATTCCCACCACCAGCCTCCTGAAACATTGATACAAGACGGGATGGATTCACGGTTAGGTGCTTTTTAGGCCAAATTTGGACCATTCTCCTCTGACCTCTGACAGCAACAGAAGGCATTTTCACCCAGAGATCTGCTTCTCACTGGTTGTTTTCCCTTTTCAGACCATCCTCTGTAAACCCCACAGATGGCTGTGTGGGAAAATTCCCAGTAGATTAACAGTTTCTGAAATATTCAGACCAGGCTGTGTAGCACCAACAGCCACGCAATCTTCAAAGTCACCAAAATCATTCATCCTCTGATTCTCTGTTTGAACTTCAACAGGTTGTCTTGACCATGTCTACCTGCCTTAATGCATTTCATTTGCAACATGTAATTGGCTGATTAGATAGTTAGGCTAATAAGCAGTTGAGCTATACCTAATAAAGTGGCCAGTGAGTGTACATTCCCATCTGAGGAAATACATTGCATAAATATGTTCATAGTATATTTATGCTTGATCCTGATTTGCTGCAAAATAAATCGCAGCAAATACCCATAGTGTGTTTGTAATTGATGAGACTATGGGTATTTATCAGAGGGAATATTCAGTAGGTGAGTGCAATTAAAATTCATTTGACTTTGATTAAAGTAATTTCCACATTTCCTTCATTAAGGGACATCTCGATGAACAGCTCCAGTGTCAGCACACTTGCTATATTATCTAAAATCCCAAACAGAATACTTCCTAGTGCTACATGTGTCATCAGTCTCTCAGTCAACGTCTAAAAATTGAGGTAATATATTTTTTGTCATTAATTTAAGTCTAATAAACCCGTGTTCAGCATCTGTATAGAAGATCTGCTCAGCTGGGAAACAGTAGCAGTAACACTTGTGGTGCACAGACATAGAGCATCAAATACAACAGTCCTGGGAGTGAATCCTATGTTATGTAGAAAGATGTTTCGGCATGTTGCTGGACTTTCGCCATTTTAAATCATCATATTACAGAGCTTACAACTACTTCTGTTGTCATCTTATGGCAACACTAGTTCTAACACGTTTGACGTTGTTGCTTTGCAGTCGGTGTGCACTGTCAGCACGTGTATATGGAACGCCAGGACTGCCATAATGAATTAACCATTAAATAATTAATTAAATGTGTCAATAATTAATTAATTACATGTGTCATAAATATTTATGTAATTAATTATTTCCGATTTTAATAAATTTTTGCCACATTTAATGAATCATTTAATGGTGTATTTAATTAATTCATTATGGCAGTCCTGGCGTTCCATACATGCAGGCGTTAGCAGAGGAATTGATAAGTTCAGACACATATGATACTTTGCAAAATTTGGACCTGGTTCCCAAGTGTTGTCTGCATGTGTGAACGCCACCACAGTTTCTCTCAATCCAGCTAAAGCATGGCTATTTCAAACTAACTTAACGTATCACAGAAAACACAAAACATTTACAATTACTGTTGCTATGGTGTCCCTGTTAGCTATTTTGAAAGCTTAAAGTTTGATATTTAAAACCATGAACATATCTTTATATATATGATTTGCTGATTAATTTTGAAATGCGTTCCCAAAGTGTTCCCAAATTTGAAAAATCCAGAAAAGAAGTAAATAAAACACATTTTCATTTGCAGTAAGGACACTGGGCATAGAGATATGATTTTAAGCTCTCAGTCAGTTGGTGTAATGTGAAAGGCCTGCATCTCTGGGAGGTCAGAGGTCAAGGTTAGTAACATAATAACAAGCAGATGTGTTACTTGCAGTCGCCATGGCAACAAGAGACCTGTTTTGTTGGCTGGTTGATTTTGAAAAAGAAAGAGACTTCTCTCAACACATGAATATGTTTCAATAAGTCAACCACAGACACACACAGAGAAATGTCACCCGGTTAGAACTGCAAGGTCAGAGGCAGGCGAACAAGCTGGACTGATTTCTCAATAAGACAGCAGTCATTGATTTTGTGGCAGGCCGTAAACGCAGAGGCGCTGTGGCTATTATCACGTCGTCTCTCTTCTGGCTCACCGCAGCGCATTGTAAAACACCATACTGCTGACTGCCTGCGGCGGTATAATGTGGAAATAATACCCAATCAACGTTGTTATAGGCTGCGAGCACACGAGGACGAGGCAGGTTTGAGCCACTGCCAAGTATTGATGGCAGCTCCAGTGTGGCTGTAATGCCAGTCAAGAGCTCCATTAAGGCTGTTAAGCTTTTGTAAACAGTTGCCAATGTGTGAGTACTGTTTAAAGTTCTCTACAAACACATGGGCACATTCTGCCTGACAGCAACTCGCTCGGTTGTGCAGAGCGGAGTTTAAAGCATTATACAAGCGTTTGTTGAGAAACTTATTGTTCTTTAATTAAAAATTCAAAAATACTTGAGCAAAGGCACAATAAACCGACAAACGTCTTCCTAACTTCCCCGTGTGCAGTTCTGCAGAGAAGCTGCGTTATTTTGTCTTGTTTTGTTTTCTTGCCAGTGCATCAATAGGTCTTGTATCACCTACAGTTGGTCAGTAAAAGCCCCGCGGTATTGCAGAGCTGTATCTTTGCAGCCTCGGGCTTTACCGAGCACATATTCTATGTGTGTGTGTGGATAGCAGCAGGGGATCTGCATGCAGCGGAGCTCCAGCGTTCTGGCTTATTTGCAGAGCTTAAAGATGAGATGGAAGAGGAGATGGTGAAGCTGGCGAGATAAAATAAATGAACAATGATAAACAGACAGAGCTGTAACTGGGATAATAGTTTTAAGGAACTGAGAAATAATTAGGAAGAATATTTCATTGTATTTAAGGGTTTTAATACTCGGTGAGAATAAAACCCCAACCCAGATAAACTCCTGTATTTTATTGGCATTAATTCGCTTCTAGAAGGATTTTCTTTTATTATTACAATAATATCCAGTTTGAAATGAGGTGAAACATGACTGCACAGTAAATGTATGTCAGAAACAGTCCATATGTATTCGTGTTTCTCTCAGCGTGATCACAGCAGGCTACAGAAGCTGTTACCATCCTCTGATGGCCAGCAAACATTTGTTTCTTTCCCTCTTCGTCTCCTTCACTCTATGCATATCGAGTCAGAAATGCCAGCTATCAATATTTTAAACCCCTGCCTTACATTAAAAGCAGCTGAAAAGTGAATGCGTGACTGTGTGTTGTTCAGTGGGTAAGGACAGGTGCTTCAAGGGAAACCTGTGCAGGTACCTTCAGATGCATAGAGACATGAATAAGTCAAGTGGGGAGTATAACTGAGAGAGAAAGAGAGGCATTATAGAGCTAAGGAAGCAAATGGACTGAGGCTGGGATAAATAAGTAAACAGTGTGGATGTACTTAAGACAAACAGTGGTGCGGAGCCGTCATGAGAAAAGCTCTCAGGAAAGCAATTGAATATTTACAGTTTCTGGGATTCCACCGATTATCAAGCCGGGATTCTCTCAGGACCCTGAAAAGTTTATAAGTTGCTGTTTATGTGTTTTAAAAAAAACAACACAACGCGCACGTGTATGAGTGCCTGCTGAGCTGGGCATCACAAACCGAATGTTCTCTTTTATGATGACAGTGGAAAAATATGTGCTGCGTTTATTCTTCTTTTATATTTACTCTTAATGTTTCTTTGTTGCTAAGCTCGCCTTGCTGTTGTTTCCATGGACTGTCCGTCAGTCAGAACTGTGTGGGCGGGACTTCTGAGCGCCTCTTAATCTGTTGGTACAGTTTGTCCGTGTGTTCGTCCTTCAGCTGGAGTCAGTGCTTCTGCCAATAACCTTGTGTAACTCCACACAAGCAAGTGGCATGCAATGTCTGGAAAACAGTATACGTGTAGTTAAAATAACTGTGCTTAAGCCAGATTTGAAAGCCCTTGAAAGCATCATTTACTATGATGTGCAGATTAATTCTTGTCTCGTCCCTCGGCCGCTTGCCTGTAACCTTCACCTTTCCCTCCGCATCTGCGAGCTGCACTTACTCACAAGTTCTCTTGCTGCGTGGCACCAGTTTCCTACTACGGTGAAGGCTGTTTTTGTTAAAAGGAGACCAAAGTCACTTGTAAATGTCTAAGAAATTGTTTCACTGTGACACGCAGAGGAAATCCGCAAGCAAAAAAAAAGATCCCTCGCCATGCTGCTGATAACTGCCTTTGCCTTTACTTTAAGAGGGGTTTTTATCATATAATAACATTTTTTCTCTCTCCTCTTCTTTCTCTTTTGCTGATGCATTGTGGGACGCACGCTCATCCATCTCAGCTTTCACAGGTGCGTGAAAACACGAACACCAACCTACAACAAACACAACAAAGACGAGCAGCTCCTGTTTTGTCGGAGGAACTGCTGCTCGTAGGCCTGGTGTTGCACGGACACTCGCGCTCAATAATTTATCTGGAGACTGATCAAAGTCGACTTGAGAGCAAATTAAAGCTTCAGAACAAACCGAGAGTTTGCCGCGAAAGGGAAAACAATCTTTAAGTATGGCTACAACAACAACAACTACAAAGAGTGTAATCGACTCTGTATTTTTTCTTTTAATTTAAGAAATACAGAAAACTGAATTCATCACGCCTCCCCCATCATCAGGGGAAACATTTCATTGATTTCTTTTTTCTCCCCAACATCTCCTGAAAACAAAAAAATGCACAAATACATCCTTTAAAAACTGGAAGTTGTTTGAACTCTGGCTAATTAGTCCGTGTTCTTAGCGTCTCTGTTTTGTTTCCACTCAGTCTGTTAGCAAACAACACACCAAATTTAAAAAAAGGGGGAACCTGCTGTAAATTTGCAATCCCATTTATGACTTAAACATGATCTGTACTATGAATTATTCAGCAATACACATAGTCGATTCGTTGGGTCCGGACTGGAGTTGTTTTAGCTTTGATTTTCCTCCTCTCTCATTCCTTCCTTTGGACACAGAGCTCATCCACATCGAGTCAGCTGTGTGTTTTATTTCCATATCCATCCATAAGCATAGACTCGGAGCTGCTGAGCTGTAGATAATAAACCGTTGTCCTCAGGGGAACAGAGTCAGGCTCACTCAAATTAATAATACAAGCTCTTTCTACAGTAAGTGCAGGGTTGCGATACTCCAGTGAGAGACTGGGCCGTTGACGAATTCAGGTTCGGGTTTCCATGAAGAAGAAGAAAGAAAGAGGGCGACGGGTGGTGTAGAAATGTGCCTGAGCTAATTCATCTGCATGCTTTTAAAAAGCAAGTGGAGCTGCCTTTTAGCCCACAGCCTCAGATTTACCAGAGTGGTTCCCAAAAGTGTGTGACAGGAAGCATGAACCATTTTCTGGGCAGCAGGGAATGTAAATATCAAAGCAGATTGGTTAGACGAGCCAAGTATAATGTCAGATTTTAGGTCTCTTTTTATGTTGCTCAGTTTGATTAAGCTAAATACTTGGGCTAAAATATGGTTATGATGTTCAGCTTAACAAATATCTCAAAAATTTGTGGTCAGATAATGTGTAAAGAAGCGGTGGGTTCTTGTGGGTTAATTTTAAGAAGGCTCTTGTTATTTCAATAATTCATCTGTTATTTAGTTTTCAGAAAAAAACAAATAGTTTACATTGATGTCTTGGTATATTTCTGTAGCCTCCTATTAATAATTCCATCTTAAATTTAGTCCCTTGCTAACATCAAAGGAGGTTTGGAGGTCAGTTACTGGGTTTGCAGCCCATTTTTCAATAATAACACTTAAGGTTGATTGAGGAATTTCTAGCATTTAGGAAACTCTTTAAAATGACCTGTTCTTTCATAAATGTTTGTTTTTTGCTTGATTTTATACGCCTTTGGCAATGGGGCTGATAACCCTTGATTCAAAGATAAAGAAACTGTGTGGACGATTGGTTTTGGTTCATCGAGTGAATATTTATTCAAAAAAGGCAGTGACTAAAAAATAGACTTGGCTTTCATATTTAAGGTGATGAATCTTATATATTTGACAGAATAAAAGTCTGAACATGAAATATTCCATGACATCTGCTGAGGAGGATCATGTGATATGGAAGACAGCTGTCGAACAGCTGTTGTTATTTGAAGTTGATTTTTATATCTGTTATTTACTTTTATTATGACACAAGCTAGTCTGAAATTAACAGTTAATTTTCCCTAAACCCTAAACCAGCTTCCAAAATGAACGTTGAATCCCTCCAGTATGTAACCTGTGCTACCAGTTCGCCTCTTACCAGATGTGCGGTGTGTGTCATTTCTCAACCAATGCACACACGGTGACACGATGCACATACTTTTTCTGTACACACACGGAAAGATGAGCCCTTGGAAGCAGCAGCTGTACCTTAGTCACTTCTTGTTGAATCAGAGTCCAATCAGATCTGTGATGCTGTATAAAAGCAGCTGGGCTCCACACATGGCTGCTCGCTTTGTGTAGAGCCTGTTTACAGAAGCCCAGATGGGACATATCAAGCACCGGTATGTTGAGCTCTGTCCTGTGTTGTTGCTACTGTGTTTGGTCTGTTGTGTCCCGATGACAGGTTTGGGTATAGGGATGTTAACTGAGGGGCCACCAGTTTAAGCCTATGCTTTGAAGAAAGAGCAACAGAAATGTAGAATTATTGGCCTGCGCTTGGCCATGCTGGTCTATCAAAGCATTCAATGTCATTTCTACCACACACTCAATATAACAATGCAGAATACTGGAAATGTACCCTGTTGAAGTGCTCTTGCCACTTAATCGTGCACTTTCTGCTTGAGCACTCTTGTTGTCTGATATGAAAACTGCAGCGCAGCTCCTGAGGATTTACGGCGTAATTGCAAACAAGGAAGAATCCCCTTTTTCCAATAACGCTTCCATGAAAGGTCCTGGTTTATCTAGCCTTTTTTTCTTGTACTACACGAAACTGATGGTTTGACATCATGTCATCTCTTCAGTGTTCAGATCCTGTTTGTATTGTTATCCCCGTTGGTCTGTGCGCTGTCTGTTTCAGGAGCTGTCGGAGGACCGGCATTCACCGCCGCTGCTGACAGTGAACGGGCCCGGGGAGGAAAAGCTGTTTCGCAGCAAGAGTGCTGAAGTGGAGCTGACAGCAGAGAAAGAAAGGGTCAAGAAGATGTTGTCTGAAGGGTAATGACAGATTGTGTTTCTGCTCGAGTCACCAAAATGCTTAAAACTCCCTCAACAGATGCATATACTGACAGAAAGAAAGCCATAAAATGAAAATGTTTCAGTCTTTTCTGACATAGCAAAAATATATCATATTGCTATATTTTTATATAAAAATAAAGCAATAAACTGTTCTAGATTATTTTATAGGTGTCAAACAGCCATGGGCTATCACTGTCAGATGTGCATGTGGGAGTACTGAAACTTTTAGAAAGCATTCTCTTTAGCTTGCTACCTTAAGAAAACTTTTCTGTATTGCTTAGTCACAGTACAAGTGTTTTCTTTACTGGAAATCCAAAAGTATTTTAAATAAATCTGTCACTCCCTCCTTTTACATACTGTACTATAAATGGATAAAGTAACGCTTTAACTATAAGAAAACTCCCTGTTATTCACGAGTGACATCAGGTTTCTCCTCCTAAATGTATTCATACGCATGTTGCCAGATTTTGATCGTATTGAAGTACTGGATTATCTTTTGATTAAGCTCATCACTTGGATCCTCCATCTTTTGTTTCACGTAGCAGTGTACCCATTCGTATAATCCAGTGTCTAACCCCCAGCTTGGCTGCACGAGCATATGTAAGAACTCAAAGCACTGAGTAAAAAGTCCCCTGTATCCTGTCTGAGGCGGACTTACGAGCCATTAAATTGTAAAGCCTTTATAGAGTGCACGCCATTGTTAAGACGTCACACTTCTCTGCTTTTCGCATTCAAAGAAACTGAACGCATGACTTCTTTGGCGCGTAGTGATGGTATTGCGGATGTATTCCACAGATGAGGAAAACCGTTATTCATCCTGGTGGCAGAAGTGGCGCTCACTCTGCATCTGAATGCTCTCTTTTCAGATTAACATCATTAGTGAACATGCAGTGGAAACCGGAATGATTTGTGCCTTTTTAGTTCATATTTCACTTAACGTTCAGGTGATTTCTGCACCGTGGCATCGAGCTGCATCATGGGAAACGAGCACCGCTATGGCCAGCTTTCCTCGCTTTACTCCTGAGTGGCTGGAATCAGGTGTGTTTAGCCAATCAGAAGTTAAATGGGTCAAGCAGGTCAAGCAAATGTGTGATTTTTATTTATTTTTTATTTATG